GGAAAGAGCAGGCTATAATTCATTTATAAGATGTTCTTGGAGCCGTGTAATTGCTCCTCACCAGCTGGATGGAGGGGGAGCTTCCTGAGGGGCTGTGTCTCAGTATTCCCAGAGAAGCTAGACAGAAATAAAGGGAGACCTGTTGCTGGAGGTGAAGGAGTGAGATGTGGGGTGGAGCCGAGAAAGGGAAGATGAGAAGGAGCATTATAATCTGCTGGGGTTTCTGGCCCCAGAGAGATGGCCTAAGTGCTGGAGCTGGTGGGAGAAGGTAGGGAGAACAGGGGGGGAGAAATCTGGGTGGTGCCACCGGTGTGTTGTTATTCCCAGTCTCAGGTTCATGGTGGCTCCTCTCATTTTCACCTTTACTGGAATGATGTGCAGAAGAGCTTTCACATTGCTATCAGTGCTGTTTTTTTCATCTGCCGTAATTTTCTCCTTTTTTTTTTTTCTTTTTTCTTGTCTTTGAGCCTGATTTTGGTGGAAATGTTGACTTTGTTATGCTGTTTGTTTGGGGGGGGAAGTTGTTGGAGGAGGTGCAAAATGTGGGGTCTGGTCCTAGCGAGGAGCAACCTGAAATGCACGTGTAACTTCACCGCCTCCCCCTCCAATTTGCGTGGTACCTGCAGGGGTTGAACCGCCAACCCTGACCAGGTTCAGGCTTGGTCATGCCATGCTTTGGTCCATGGCATCTCGCTCTGCCTGCTCTTCCCCATCTTCCCTACTTGAATCCCCCTTGTCACGCCAGTGTTTGATCAGATTTTCCCCTCCTTTAGGGTCCCATTTCTCCCATTATCCCATTTCAGCTCCTGGCAAGGCAACAAGTGATCTCACCACCTATATGGCCAGGCAGCTGCCAAAAAAAAAAAGGAAAGGAGAGACTGGACATGCATAATTTAAGGTTTTTCGTAAGAGCCGTACCAGGGTTTTCCCTAGTGTCCGATGCAGAACCTGAAAGGCGGCAGCCCCGCAAGGGTGGGGAAATGCCAACGGCAGTCTTGTTCCTGGAGCGAAGCCCCCAGGCATGGCATCATCCTGCCACGAGCCGAGAAACGCAGCAGGCAGCAGACGAGCAAAACCCAGCAAAAGTCATTTCATTGGCATGTTCACATTCATTTCCAGGAGTTGAAGTAACACATTTTCCTTTCTTGCTGCATATGGAGGAGTTTGTGGCTTTTTTTTTTTTTTTAACCATAGTTTTTAAGCAAAAGTTTTTTGGTGAAGCAGAATTGGTAGCAGCCGCTCTTCCTTTCCTTAAGCTTGAATTTGGTAAACTTTTGTGAAAGATTTAATCTTTTTAAAAGTTATTTCAGTGACATCATACTATTAAAATGCTCATAGAAAAAAATTAGAAACCCAAATAAGCTGCCGTCAGTTGGGTAATTTCCCTCAGCTACATTACTTTGTGTTGGAAGAGGGACATTTTCACAGAAAAACTTGTAAAGGGAATAATTTTTATCTGGTGCTTATTCATCATCTTTTGCCATTCCGAGACTAGAGCTGTGGATTCATATTTGATGAGCCCAGTTGGCCTTCAAACACTTTACAGGCACTTTTTTCCTTCCTTTTTAATTCTTTTTTTTTTTTTTTTTTAATGTGAACAAGATCCTTTGGTCCAGCTGTCACAACAGGCAAGCACTGTTTACATCAGGGTTGGCTGGTTGGTTTTTTTTTTAATCGGATTTGTTCAAATAAAGAGACAACGCATCTAACTTCCAGTTCTGCATGCTTAGGGAAGAAGGCAAAAGTCAAGTTGCCTCCTGTATCGTTGCTGTTATTGTTTTGACACTTCAGGGTCAGTTGCTGGCCTTGATTATATTTCTGTCATCCCTTTGTCTAACTGGGATGGTGCTGATTTAAGGAAGGCAGCTCGGCCGTGCAGCTGCCACCTTGCTAACAGGGTAAAGTCCGGCTCCTTTTCCAGAGCAGGTTGCTCTCCATCCCAGTTACTCACTTCTTTATGGACTATTTGTGTGGATGAAGGTGGTAGCTGTTTTAAACACAGGGGATTGAACCCCATGAATAAAGAGATGGTATTCTGGGGCATGGTCCTTTTGTAGAAGAGGAGCGTACTGTAAATACAATGGTTTTCTTTCCTTTTTTTTTTTTTTTTTTTTTTTTCCCCCCCCCCAGGAGGAACTTGGGCAGAATAGGTTAACCGCTCTGCAGAAAGCCATGTCCTTTTTTGGTCAATGCCTTCAAACAGCCACAGTGTAATTAGAGGGCTCCTGATGGAGAATCACATTATTATCTATCTAAAGTGTTTTACGAAACCAGCATTATGAAGGTTATTAAAAGAAAGTGATGTTTAGCTCTGACTTTAAACTTGGTCGATCGAGTGTATTAAATAGATCCCAACGCTGTTTTTAAATGGATATTTTTCTGCCCGTGCTGTAACTGATGGTATTTTTCCTCTTTATCCTCAGGGATTTTTCTGTTTTGCTCTGGCCTTCTGCGGATTGATCCCAGCTGCCTGCTGGAGATACATGCACAGCACGGAGGTAAGCATCGGCCGATAGGAAATACCACCAGCGTCTTGTCGGATGGAGATTTTTTTTTTTTATTTTTTATTTTTTGTAGCAATGGTTTCTCCCGTAAAAGGGACATCTGGCAGTAATTAAGCCGCCCATGCCGAGGTCTATCACATGCATGCTCTGTCGCATCCGTTCTTTGCAAGAACTGGGCTGCCTTCATCAGCTGCCTCTCCGATGGGGTCGTCTGAAGGGAGAAGCCACGGAAACTCTCACGCAGAGCAAACGCTTTGTCCTGATGGTAAAACAAAATGCAAGTCTCATTTTAAATAGCTTTGGGATATTTTTTTTTTTTTTGCAGGGGAAGTTTTGTTTTGTTTTAGTTGAGATGCTTGACTTTTGAAAAGTCATTTCCAGCCAGCTCTAATTCCTGCTAACGTCAATTGGGAGCCTCTATTCAAAGGCAGTGGCAGGTTGTGACTGTTCGGGTTGTCTCTGGCACTGGCCAGGAGAAACGCCCCGGAGGTGTGTTTATTAACCAGCAGCAGTGGTACAAGTAAAAAACACTAGTCTGAAAAATGGTGGTTTGGGTCGTTGTCACACTGGAGCAGGAAGAGAAGATTGTACGAGGTCGAATTTGCCAGAAAGTTGAGGTTTGAATTGTTAATGCAGAGCTTGCTGGTGGTGTGGTAGATGGTGCTGGAGGTGCAAAGTGCTGGGGAAACTGAGGTGAAGCATGCACAGATGCTCAGGGGCAGCCCCCCACATCACAGTGGGTACGCTTACTCCGGGACTGGGATGACCCTGGGGCCAGGGCAGCAGGCTGCTGTGGAAAGCAGAAATTGAACTTAATATTTAGCAGCCTGAAGAAGTTTAGGTGTGGGGTTTTTTTTAACCCTTTCCTAATCTGATATATTTTGCTTTTTGTATATTTATTCCTCTTCTCATTCAGAGGAATTTGTTGCTGCTTGGTCTTAATTCCCCTCCCTGCATCCCTGCACTGAAAAAAACCCAAAACATTTTAACAGACTTAGGCATGCAAAAAAATCATGACTCCTATATTTTGAAAGGACAACACAGGTATTTTAGGCAAGTATCCAAATTATCTAGAAGTAATTCAGATAAGCGCTTAGGACTTTGATAGATGTTTTATGCTGTGGGTCAGTCCCCATTTCCTTTTTGCTCCTACCCAGCCCCAGGCACGTGTTGCAATCTGTGATGCTCTGGCCGGCGATGAGGATATGGGTGACGTGAAACATCATCCCGATGGATTAGGGTCACGTTGATGCTGCCAGCTCATCTCTGTAGGGTTACAGATGTTGTAGGGGATCGAAGACCAGTGTGTCAGGAAACGACCATCAGAAGGGAATTCGTTCTGTGCTGGAGGAGTACTCCGCCAAAATCCCAGAGGCTTGATCTAGGACTACGGCAACTGCACTTCTCGGGGGCAAGAAGCCCTGTCCTATAACAGTTCACTGTCCTGTGCAAAAATTAAAATCCAGTCCTTTTTGAAGCAGAAGGCTAAAGGGCAAAGTCAAGGTTAAGGGGAGGGGTAAGGTCCTGCTTCTCCAGAAAGTTTGTCCAGAGCTAACCAGTGGCCACAGTAGCTGAAAATCCTTTGAGATATGCAGAGGGATACTCTGGATCAGCTCAAAGGTACCCACTCTGAGACAGGCACTCCCGCTGTTGGCCAAGGTCGAAGCATAAAAACCCAGCGAGCACAAAGCAATGCTTTTTCAGATGCCAACAGCTTGTGGCTCAGCTGCCTGCTGGTGGCACCTGCTGGTGCTTTTGCCTTTAATGCTCTCAGTGGATTTCTCCTCCCTGAATTTGTCCAGCTGCTTTGGAAACATTTGTTCGAGAGAGTGCTGATGGCACTGCAGCATCTTTTGTCTCTACGCTTACCTGGCTGAAGCAGATTCAACCAGAGCTGAGAAATCCATGAAAAAGTCTTTCCACAGCCTCTGCATATATTTTCCCTGGTTTCAGGCGAAACTAACAAAATTTTATTTTTTTCACGCTAACAATTTAATACGGAAATGATGTTGTTTTCATGACCAACACAGAAGGGAGGCCTGGAGCACAGTTTCCTCCTTCTGCAGAAGTTTGTAATGAGAGATTGACACAAAAGCTGTGTTAGTAAAGGAGAAATGGCACCAGAAAGTGTCTGGTTGGTCTTATGAAATTGCGTTATCCAAATAGACTATTTAGTTATACTTTTTAATCCACAGACAGGGAGAAGGGTCTAAAAAGTATGCAAGAAAAAGTCGTATAGTGGGTTAATATGGGGATGTGCCATTCAGAAAAATATTTTGCTGAAAATATTTAAGGAAGAATGACTTTCTCTGTATATCTCTTAATCGCTTCATGTGTTTTCACTTAAAATTATTTTCCTGGTGTTTTTTGCTTTGATTGCCCTGCCCATAAATGCACCCCCATGTTATGGTTAGCTTTAGTAGTTGGTTGGGTTTCTTTAAGCAAAACAGTTTCCACTAGGAAAAATGAGGTTTTTTTGTAAAATGTTTACTTTCTGGGTAAAGAAAACCAGCAGTGTTTCTGACAACAGAAAAATTAGCATATCATTAGAGATAGTCTTGGGTTTCTCTGCTTTCTAAAATGCAAATTGAAACAGGGAATATAAATGAGGAAAGATTTAATTTGGGGTGTCACTTACAAAACATATGGAAATTCCATTTTGCTTGAAAGATAACCTGTCTCACCAGTGAGAGAAATGCAGATGTGACAGAGAAATGTAGATGAGACAAATGCAGATGTGACTGCCCCTTCAGGACAGAAAGACAGGTAGTGCAGTGGCACAGAAAACCAAATGGAGCAGAGGGAAGACTGCAGAAGTTTCATTATAGAGCCATTTGTTTGTCTGACTTTCTTAAAGTAAAGAGCAAAATTAAAGCAGGTGTCCTCCCCCCGCCTACTGCCTGTCAGTACTGTCAGAAATAGTTAATTGTGGTGATATGGGGGGAAAAAAATCAAAATCAGCCAAATTTAGGGGTGTTTGTAAGCCTAATGGGATGTACACAGCTATCAAGAAAAGCTAATTTGGGGATGTAAAACTGAGTGTGGATGAATATGTCCCATTACACGTGCCTGAATCAGTACCTCTGAGAGCACTGAGGGGCTGCTGCCCCTGTGTTCATGGCTAAACCAAAAATTTGTATTTTTCCCATGCAAAATACATTTACTTTCCAGCGAAACGCAGACAGAAAATCAGCCTGCTCCATTTGGAAATGCCAGCCTGGCATTGGTAGATCCCGTCCTCTCCCTCCCCACGGGTGAGGTGCCAAACGCAGGCAGTGCTGAAAGCGGAGCCCTCCCCTTCCTCCGCAAGCCCGGAGATGGGTGGTTTGCTCCTCCTTATAAAAAAAAAAAAAAAAAGAAAAAAAAAAAATCTAAATTTCCTTCATAAAGCAGACCCTTCTTACGGAAATCATCTAAAATGGAAAAGCCCAATTTTCAGTTGAAAAATTCTTTCGATGGTTATTTTCAAGAGGCAGTAGATAGAAATGTCATTTGAACATGATGAAAGCAAGATGCCCTTTTTGCCTTTGTGGCTCCTATAGAGACCTGTTTACAGTAGTTCTTACAGAGAAGCTACGCAGGACGGGAGAAAAGGAAGAGTTATTTGTAAATATTCTGTATTCTCAGACATGGGCACTGCAAACAAAATGTGAATCTTCTCATTTCTTATTCTTTTCTGCATTTGTGACCTTCTGTAGCACCTGAACGAATTCTTTCGGACAGATGCCATGTGTTTTAATTTCAAGTTACATGCATACCAGATTGACCCAGTGTCACCTGTCTTTATTCTTAAAATAACATATACCAGACATGCAAAAATCTTGACTCTGAGGTTTACCGTGCTTCACCTTAAAAGGATGATCCCTCTGTTCAGCATCATAATTATTACTTATTCCTGCTCTGTTGACCCATCCATGTGGCCAATGAATGGGTTTTGTGAGGTCCAGGCCTCCTCCGTACTGTCTTCTCAGGCAGCTTTGCATCCATCTGTCTGAGTTAAAGTACTTTTAATGAGGAACTGATAAAATACTCATGAACAAAATGGGGAAAAACAAATACCAAGAGTAACATCCCAGATCATCTATCTCACTGTCTTGCCAGCATGTATAATGCAGCCTTTCTGTTAGGGTCCACCCCCAGTTTATGAAGAAACACTTTGCCTTTTAGCCAACAGCACCAACAGAAAAGGTGCTGCTGTCACTTGCAGAGGTGTGAAAACTTCTCTGGGCACGTCAGCTGCTCAGAGGAAAATCTGAAATGAAAATATTTGTAATCTGGAGGTTGTTGAAGGACCTTTTCTCGTGCTAGCTGTAGGGCTGAGTCATTCGTGTTTCGGTATTTTCTAGTTCAGCTTGTTCCTGAGCCACATCCTCACCTGCTGTGCCCAACACTCCTTCTTCGCCTCTGTCCCATCACACTCTCAAGCCCACAGCTCCAGAAACACCTCACCCCAGCCTCCAAGCCCCTGTGAAACTCCAGTGTGTTTTTCTGCCTGGCTTGAATCACTTGAGAGAGTTATCCCTTTCCAAGTCCAACCTAGTGCGGACAAGGATCTCCATGAGGGTGAGCAGCACGTTTGGTTGCCCTCCCTATGGGCCATCAGGCCAAAATGTGGTCTTGGTGGGAAATGTGGTCTTGGTAGGAAAGTGTCACAAACCTGTTTGAGGATTGACACCGGTGGTGCAATCAAAGCGAATGCAAGAACGATGTATAAGAGGGCAGGGAGGATGACCTCTACACAGACATCTTTGATGCAACAGTTGTGGTAACCACGGAAATTATGAGTTTTTCGGCTGGATTTCAGCCGTGTTAGGACATCCCGATTCCTGAAGCCAAAGAGCTGAGTCTTGTTTTCCAAAGTTATTTTTACGGCAGCTCCTTTGCCACAAACCACTGCCTGTTTTGGTGAGGTCTTTTAGTCATTCCCAGCACAGCCCAATGCAGCTGGGACCTGCGATGTGGAGAAGGATGTAGGAGAAACCTATGCCACATCT